TTTGTTTGGGCTGAATGGAAATTTTAAAAACTTTACATTAACATTCAATGATATGTTACTGTATAATTATTATTTTTTTACAATAATAATGGATCAAAATTAGACTCATAAATATTAAACATTTTAGTCCTCTAAAACTTATATATAGATCATTTTATATATTTAGACATCAATTTTTATTCTTAATTTAATGCTTAATTTATCATACAAAAGACTAAATTAAATTAATATTAATTTTTTTGTGCATATTCAAATCTTAAAAAGACCATCGAAGCCCAACACAGTTGTATAAATGCACTGATTTTTCTTAGCCTTAAGCCTATAATTACTGCTTTCACCGGGAAAAAAAGCCTATAATGCTTGTATATCATGTGTAAAATGTATTTCTTTATTTTTTTTTAGCAAGTACATTAGTTATAATGACATCTTTTTATGAAAACTGTAAAATGACTCATATAAAACATTCTTTTTTCTGTGTGTGTGTGTAGGGTCATGTGTGATTATGTCTCATATATAAAACATTTGTATATCTATTTCCCCAAACATACTCTTACCATATTTTTAAAACTAAGAAAATTTAAATCCATTCTATCATAAATTTAAATATACGCACCGCTATATTTACCAAAAAATAAATAAATATATACACCGCTATATAAAAATGACAAGGTTCTCGTTTCAACTTATTCAGCCCAATATTTCAAAAGAAAAGAGATAATGTTAACCAACGGTGAGATCACCTGGCACTTAACCAACAGCGACATCAGGACCATGGAAGCCATATGAGACGCTAGCCTTCTCACTTTACGTTTCACCCAATTTAAGGTGCACTACCCGACTAACCCGAGGTCGCACGCAGTTAAAAGTTTTTTTCTTTTTCTTTTTTAATATAAAATGCGGATAGCCTTTCAGTGCATAACATTGTGATAGCCACAATTAACTAGCTATAGCATGCTCTCCAAGTCAAGATTATAATCTCATATACGAAAAAGAACAATGATTACGAATTATTATTTGTATTTTACTGATAGATGTAACTTTATCATATCAACTTTGCTGTGTTATATATTTGACTAAATAGGCCTCTATTGCTTTTTTTTTTCTTTTTTTAATACAAGCCTTTATTGCTTTTTGGTTCCACCTTATATTCACGATCTTTTGGTTTGTGGTTATGTACCACAAAGAGTTCCTCATATCCCACTAACGGAAGACAGTTCTATGGCTCTATGACTGCGACAATTAATATAGACTTTCAGGCTTCACCTGCCACATGGGCACACATATTCCACGAGTCAGCAATAGCGATCCAATCATTGTCTGTCCTCGACACAGCATCGCTACATTGTTCGCGGCATAATTTTGACATCAGGCGTTTCTTTGATAAGAGATGAAATTTTTTAGGTAAAAAAAAAAAAAAGATGAATTTTTTTTTTCCATCATTTGTTTTTTTATATAAAATAATTGAAGAAGATTATCATTGAAAAGGGTGAATTTTTTTTGACATGTTGTAGAAAAATTAACACACAACATCAATAAAATTAACCCAATATTTTCAAAAAAAATTTGGCCTACCAAATTTTTTTAGTAACTTACCTAGAAAAAAAAAATTCTATCATATTCCCGAAAACTATTTTTTCTCGGTAAACTTTTTTTTTCTCTACCAAATGCCTCATAGAAATATAATTGCTTCAGTCACATACATTTCACGGGTTTTATAATTCTTAAGTTACATGAAAAATGAAATCTTATGTTGTAGAGATAAAAAACATGTGAGACTCATATGTTAGAAAAAAATTATATGTAAGACCCACGTCAGCACGAAAATCGAAAAATATGTAAGAAGATTTCAATTCTGATGTTGAATGAGAATTATAAAACCATACGAGATTCCTTGTAAAATATTAACATGTCTTATCAATATAAATGATATTTAAAAATTATGAATCCAATGATATAAAATTTATTTGTGAGCTAAAGTTTTAATTTAATTATATTTATATTTACTTCATGACAAAGTTAATAATTTTTTATCTCAATTTTCTGTGGTTAAATTGAGAGCTGTAATTTATTATTTTATTATAATAAATCATATTATTATAATAAAACTTCCTACAAGATGAATTTTATTATATTGATTCTATTAATTACAATTAATATCTTATGTGATCTATTTCCAAAAAAATAAATCATCTAGAGATACTTAATATATGATTTATATAATTTATTTTTTATTAATCTCTTATTAATTAAATTATATATACGATGAAACATTACTTTTTGTGCATAAAAAGATGGGTAAAGCATTTATCTAGTCAATGGAGATAAATTATCTTTAGTAAACACAAAATGACGTTTTGTGACAGAAATCAAGATATTTTTTTAATTCTAATTTATTGCATAGTTATATTAGTCTTTATAATTATAATTTTTTAATCTTATAATTTCATAACAATGTCATTTTAGGTTTACTGGAGATAATTTTATCTCAAGAAAAAATATTTTTTCCTTCATAAAATTACATATATATATAATCAATTACAAATAAAAAATACATATAATTAGTCAATTATACTCAAATTCTTAATGAACATCAAAGTTTTAATCTAAAAAATGATAAAAAAATTTAAAATTCATACATAACTGGATGATCAAACTATAAAAAAAAGTTCCTAATTCCAGTTAGTAAATTAAAAATATAATTTGATATTTTATCGTAATTAATCACGCAAAGTATAATAAAAGTTCTACAGCGATAAAATCTATTATATTATATATGATCAGATATAATTAATGCCATATATTATACGTGGTTTAGAAATAATCAAAGATGTTATGACTAATATCTAATTAATTAAATTATATAAATAAATTAACATTAATTAATTTTAAGCCCATATTATTTTAAAAAAGTCAACACCATCCATACATCATCATGCTTAATATTATCGCCCGATATTTTTAAAATAAGTTAATATATTTTATTCACTACTATAAAATAGAATGATGATGTATGGATGTACTGGAGTATATTCTCATATTTATTTTGGAGGATTGATAAGATTTAGGAGAGAAATAATTGGTCACACTATTGTCTGCAGCTTGTTATGGAAGCAACTAGATTATAAGCGGGTTCAAGCGTTGATTTAAACTTTTTTTACAACAAAAAAATAAAAATTTCTGGGGCAGCCCCGCGACTAAATGTGCGGACATAATTTTTTTTCCTGGATCCGCCGCAGCACAGAAGCAATTATAGTACATTTGGCATTATAATTATAATACAATGAAAGATTTTCAAATTTATGTTGCAATAAAATCCCAAAATTCATTAATATTTAGAATGTTTTAACCTCCAAACGGGTCAAACCCACCCGGTTGCAACCCGCATCCGAACCTGATGATTTCTCAGCCATTGACGGTTGTACTTGTATTAAATTGATTTGTTACCGGAGAAAAACTAACATACAGTTGAAAGTTTTCTTTTTCTTATAAAAAAAACTGCAAATAACCTTTTAGTTCATAACATTGTGAAAGCCGCAATTAACTGGCTATACAGCATGCTCGTGAAGTCAAGATTATAATCTTACATATGAAAAAGAATCATGATTACAAATTATTATTCACATTATTACTTGAAGATATAACTTTATAACTTCATCATATGATCAACTTTATTGTTTTATATTTGAGTAATATGTGTGCCTTTATTGTTTTTAGTTCCTCCATATGCGCGACCATCCTTTGCTTTAGTGGTGCTGCTGTCTGTCCCAAAAGAGTTCCTCATCCACCACTAACCGAAGAGTCGAAGACAGTTCTATAGATTTATGGACTGAAACTAGTACAAAACAAAATACCTTTCAGCTTCTTCTTCCCTTTGTATGAACTGCCAAACCTGAATCCACATAATTATCGACCCTTAAAAAGAGTCCGTCATGGGCTTTGGGACAGGGAATTCACTGAATAAAGGAGGATAATATAATTAAGCTAGGTTTCGGGCAATGATACAGAATGCTCGAGATATTTTAACCTATCTATGAACCTTTTAATCATATAACAATTTTTTTTTTTTTATATTTATTCACCGGTTGATTGATTGCATGACTAATCTGTTTTGAGTATTATCGGACCCAATATATGAAGTAGTTCTCCTAAAATAATATTCTCGTATTATTCATGAAGCTCGAACTCAAGATGATTAAGGGGAACAATCTGTTTAACACTTGAAACAAATGCTGTTGGTGTTGGCATGGGTGTTTATTTGAATTAATAATAATAATAATAAACTATTGCATAGCAGAGGCTCAAAAGTTTCTTAACCAAACCTTTAGATTTCATCAAAATGGACCTCGCATTTGTTGTTGGGGAGAGACATACATGTTATGCTTATTCACACTAATTGGTTTTAGAGAGAAACAAACCAACGTGTACAACTTTTTTTAAAAACGAGATACAGCTCAAGATGGTCCTTTTTTTTTTTTTTTTTTCACATAACACATAATAGTCTTCTTAATTATAATGGGTTGAGAATTTTCATTTGGTGATAAATATCGAGTCGTTCTTTCAGAGACGTGCCCTTCGTTATTCTCTTTCTCCATACGACCCAAGAAGGGAAAGTTAAAGAAGTAACTCCAGCTTGTTCATAACATACTACGAAAATTCATTGCTAGGTAATAACAACCTACAAATAATATATATATGGAAGACTAAGTACAGTTATTCGAGAGAAGAGCACTGGCCACATATATATAGCAAAATATATATATATATATATATATATGGAAAACTAAGTACACTTATTCGGAAGACCAAGTACAGTTATTTCTTGAATAATTGTACTTAGTCTTCTATATATATATATATATGAAGTAAGATCTTTTGATATCAGTGTCAAATTTGAAATTTGACACCTTATATAAAAGGAGTTAGATAAAAAAAGATATGTCAAATTTCAAATTTGATACCGGTGTCAGAAGATCCTATCTCATATATATATATATATATATTCAGCAATAGTGGTCCAACCATTTCTGCAACCTCAACTCTCTGTAGAACTTATCGATGAACTCCTCCGCCGCCTCGTCCACGTGGAAATCCTTCTCCGTCTCTCTCAACATGGAAGCAGCGGACGCCGTGATATTTACGCGCCTCCTTATTGGACAGTAATGGCCCGCCAACGCGTCATTGTCTGTGCCGCGACACAGCCTCACCGCCTTGTCATGCCGCCGGGCATGCGGGGTGGCCGGAGAGAGCTTCCTCCTGTTGGCATGAGAGTGGCGTGGTGGACTGCTGCTGCAGCTAAACTGGTACTCCATCGGAGACACGAATGACATGTGCGAATCACGTGAGCGGCAGGTCAAGGCTTCGTGGTGGCGCACCACGACGTCGTTCAATGCCTTCCCTATGTTTTTGCCTCGCTTCATCACGTCCTGTACATCGTGCATGATCTTGCTTTTCGAGACACCGTTTTGTATGAGGAACCCTATTAAACGCACCGTTTTGCACACTTTCTCTGCCACCATCGGTGGATGGCTTGGGTCCATGCACGTAATGTCTGCCACATTTGGGATTGCGAAGTGTGTGTCTTTGTGTGGTTTCATGTGTTCTAACTAGCTAGTGTACGATAAAGGGATGATGGAATTGTTGAAGAGGGTTTGGCTTGTGGGGGGAAGACGAATTTAAAGGAAAGAAAGAAAGTGAGTCAAGGCTAGAGAAGGAGGAGTTGGTTTGATGTTGCTGTTATGGATCATGATAGCTAGTGAACTCTCATCATTACAAATTTATTGTGCACGTCTTTCTTTATCCTTTCTTTTCTTGTTATTGGATGTTCTTTTGTTATTATTATGTTATTATAATGCATACATATTCCTTTGATTTTTCTTTTGCAATTTTCTCTTCTTCTTTTTTTGTTTTGTTTATAATTAAAGGCCATTGAACAAGTCCCTCTCTCTCTCCTGGTGCCAAAGGTTTCAAACGGGCATCAAATAGAATGCCTCAACACTCACAAGCCAACTTGAAAATAGTTAAGATAATTAGAATTTATTAAGTTGAACATATATACCACCAAGCCAAACAGGTGCCGACTTTGCGACCTTTGAGTGACCCGCATTTTTCTTCAGTGATGTGGACCCTGTGGTGGGTGTTGTTGACATACAACTTTAGTGTAAGTAGGGTAGTAGCATACTTGAGTGAGATGTTTCTTTTTTTCTTTCTTTTTTTTATTTGATATAATAATAAATAATAATGGATATGTACCAAGAAAAGCAATAGTGACTCACATATTACGCACACAATCATAAATTAATAATGCATTACAGTGGAGGGGGGACTCCAAATGACAACTTTGGCTAGGCATAAGTTTTCCTTTAGCCCTACATTATCCATATTTAATTTCCATCTAACGTGTAAAAGATATACTAGTCTCTATATATATATGTGCACTTTGTTTATTTTATTTCCTTATGGCCTACGGTCATGATGACAGTATCAATTAAGAATCCTAAATAGCTTTTATTTAGTCGGTGATTGAATTATTGTATTTTTGTAAGTAACTGACAATTGAATTATTTATAGTAAAAATACTTTATTTGTACTTATCGAAAATAGTCATACACGAGATTTTCGTACTAGATATATTCTACCACTTTTTATCAATGCCAATAATCCTGCTATTTTCTTTCTTTTTTTCCCGATGATGATCGAAGAATGAGGATGCTCGGCTATTGTGAATATGTTGTGTGCTTAATTAATTTGAAGATTTCTGGATCATCCTTATCTGCACACCAATACCATGAACTTGAGGCTGGAGAATGATTGGAAAGCACACTCATGAAATTTGTGGCCGTATATATTCTAAATATTTTTAGCATTTAATGTAATATATATATAAATAAGCGCATGTACTAAAATGGTGGACCTATAACATAGAGTGACCGTTACGCCGATACTGATATATTTACTTGTACATGGGTATATGTAATAAGTTGGTGTTACTGTTGTTTGATCAATTCTACCTCCAGACCATGTATATATGACTATGGTCCTCACAGAAAACCAGACAACGATACCGTGTCATTTTCAGTTGGTCGGGATCATAATTTCATCCAACTGATTCTTTCAGTCATCAACTACTGCCAATTTAATATGCTCCCAATATGCAAAAACTTCCTTGTCGAGTAAGCCCAGAACAAGAAAGAGATAGGCTATAGAAATATTTTCATAAATATATAATTTTTGGGATGGTTATATTGCCCTTATTACTTTTTTTTTTTTTTGGAGTTACCCAACCCTAATTATCTCTTTGAGACGAGTTGGCTCCCTCCGGTATCCCCACGAGCTTCGACTCTTTGAGCCGGCTATGGGACTAATCCGGACTGCGGGGAAACAGTGATGGCTAAAGGTTCAGCCCCCTCCCCAAGAATGCATTCAGCGGGAATCGAACACATATCCAACCCCACTAACTCAGCACCAAGTTATCAACTGAGCTGCACCAATTGGGTATTGCCCTTATTACCTTGTTATCACCGTTAAATTATAATTAAATTAGCGGTTGAAAGAAAGAGAAACAAGAGATATAATTAGTTGAGAAAAATAAAAAAAAAGATAAGCAAAATAATTTTTTTATTATATTTAAGACAGTTAATTTAAATTTAATCTAACAGTAATAAAAAAATAAGAAAAGTAAAAATTTTAAATAGGTAGATAATATAATCATTCTCATAATTTTATATGTGCAAAGATATAATAATATATTTTGAAATTATGTCAACTTTTAATGAAGTTTAGTTAAATATTTTATCTTCTACTAATCATATTACAAATGAGAGAGAGAAGAAAGGAAAATACAAATATTATATATATATATATTTTTTGGTAAACAAATATAATACAAATATTATATATATGTCATTTCAAAAGTTAATCACATCTAAAAAAAAAGAGAAAAGTATTTCTCCCGTCACCGGAGATAAAGTTATCTTCAGTGAGCTCAAAACGATGTCGTTTTGGGTTATAAGATTAAAAAATTACAATGATAAAGACTAATATAACCCTGCAATAAATTATAATTATAAAAATACCTTAATTTCTGCCCCAAAATGACATCGTTTTGAGCTCACCGAAGATAACTTATCTCTTTGACCGGAGAAATCATTTACCAAAAAAAGAAAAGACGGAAACAAATAGAAGGAAAATTGAAAACTTTTGGATCCTAAAAAAATAAGTCAATTTTAAATTATTTTAAATAAATAGATTATTCTTGGAATTTATATGAAAATCTATTCTATATCAACATTGACCTTTTACCTACCGGTCACTATTTAAAGTATCATAACAATTATAGGAATTTTGATTCTCTGCATGTAGTCTTAAAATGAATTACATGATATGCAGCTGGTAGTCTAAAAATTACATTGATTAAATTATATTTACTTTTAAAATTTTATTCTAAGAAAAAAATTTAGAATGGTTGAGAAATTATTTAGAAGTACTGATATCCTCTATAATATTTTTTAAAAAACTACAGAGAACCCTTTTTCTAATTACTTATATGTATAATTTTTCATGATGTAAATGTTATGGCATGGGCTCTTCATTTTTATTTATTATTAGAGTAAAAATGTCAACTCTTGGTCTGTCATTTGTTATGGCATAATTGTCTTTTTACTAATAGGTTGTAGCGTATAAAAAAAATCGAGTTAATTAAATGATGACCTTCTACAATGTTAGATATTTGAACCCCGAAAATGCATTGCTGTAAGAGGCAATCTTGATATCTCAAATGGGATATATATACTAGTGATCTCATGCTTAAAGGATGTAATAATTTCTTAACAAAGAAAAATATAGAATCAGCCTTTTTTTTTTTTTTTGGCCATATAATTTTTTTTTTTGGTAGGTTGGCCATATAATTTTTGCTAAAGCGTCAATGTTAAGTGTTTATCATGAGCATTTATCTAGGGACGTATTGGATTGAGATTTTAAAAAAAATTAATGGATAATTTTTAATAAAAAAATTCATTAGTATTCAATTAGGATTTTAAAGGATTAAAAAAAAAATCACGTGGTATTCGATTAGGATTTTAAAAGATTATTTTAAAATCCGCTCAAATCTGTTGGTATTCGATCAGGATTTTAAACAAAGAAAAAATAATACTGTGATATTAAAAAATCTGATGATTTTAATGGATTTTCTATTGGTGTGGATTTCGTGAGACTCTTTAGTGAGAAATATAAATAGAATGTTTATCTCAAAATCTGACCTGTTACCCTAAGATTTTTTGAGATTTCTTTATTGCATGTCTTTTTTTTTTTTTTAAATAGCAGATTTTTGAGTGATTTTCATCACAAAACAACCCATAAACAAAAATCCAACAAGATTTTAATCTAATCCATATCAAAATAGCAGATTTTGAGCACTTTTTTAGAGTTTTTGGAAGTTATAAAAAATGATTTTTCAAGCTATTGGTTGCAATTTTTCTTGGTATAAAAATGTATGATTTTTGAAGTAAAAACAACATAAAATAGTGGAAAAATAATAGGAAAACAAAAACCCCTAAATCAATTTTTGTTTTACATCAATAAAACAAGATCGATTTAAAGAAAGGTTGAAACTTTCATAATATAAACACTATGTTTCATAACAATATATTCATAAACAAAATTTCTTCTTGAAAATAATTTAAGAAATTTTCTAAACTTTCATGTAATAAAACCCAAAAATTCATATTCGAAATTTCTTGGAATACTCAATAAAAACATGCATATAATATATGGTTAGAAAAATATCATCATGTATAACAAAAAACCTAAGGTTTACAAGATCAATTGCTAAAAATTTCAAACGAAAATTTATCATGAATTTTATTGATTGAGAAAATTATATTATGTTTTACTTTTTTTTATTAATATCATTGTATTCCTTTGTTATTTTTTTTATTGTCTCTTGTAATTTTGAATGTTTGTTAAAAATTCATATGATTTTTTAAAATCTTATAAATTCATATCGTCTTTTCAAATATTATAAAATCCTTTAAAATCCAATCTTATGAAATATTGATGGTAAAAAAAATCTATTAAAAAGGTATTTAAAATCCCTACAATTCTGAATAGTCTTTTGAAATCTATAAGATTTTGTATCTTAAAAAAATCTTTTAAAATCCTAATCCAATACAACACCTTAACAGTTTTTCATATGACTATTGTTCAGGGCATTTATGTATATCTTTCTCTTCACGACTTTTTTTTTTTCCAAAAAAAAAGAGACAAAGTGAGAGAGAGTGCATGCATATTAATTTTAAAATATTAAAAACTTAACTAAGAATCTCATTTCAAGTGAATTAATTTTTTTTAGAGAATGATTGATCTTAATGTCAAATTTTACTGAGGCCTTTTTATGTCAACTTTAGTCTCTCATTCCCTCTTTACAATGCTTCTTAGATCTCTTTTGCAACTAAAACAGATTGTTTGAGGTCTTACTTCAAAACCAAATCAAATTAATTACTCTTTTAACTACTTATCTCTTGAAATCTTAGGATAGGATTAA